CACACACACACACACACACACTTCATTCACTGCTAGGTGCTAGCATCTAGTCCCAACCTGTGTCCTCCATAGCATCCCAAATCTGGGTCCTACCGGGCCCGGCCTGACCAGTAACCACCTCCATCCGTCCGATTTGACAAACCTGCTCCAGGGATGATGGTGCCCCCCATTCCTCTCTTGACATTCACTCTCTCCCATCCCCAGGTTAGATCCCAGGGCCCCCCCTGGGCATACGGGCTGCCCAGGCCCCTGAGACCTCTCCTGCCCCCTTGTGTCTTAATGGCCTTCAACTCCATCCAGCCACTGTCCTCCAATTGCAGGTTCACTGGAGATATCAGGTGCCCGGAGATGTTAGGGTTCCCGGCTTCCAACCTCTAGTCTTATCATTTGCCCCCCATGTCCCAGAATCTCCCCCACTCCATCCCCACGCGCTCCCCAAATACAGGGTCCCGCCTCCCCACCTCTCCCACCCCCTGGCTCACACTCCGCAGCTCCTGAGTCCGATCCTTCATCCTGCGACGGGCTCCTCCTCCCCTTCTTCGTCCTCCCGCCTCCGCTGCTTCTCTCTGCCTCCTGCCTCTGTGCTGGAGGCCGGGGTCTGGGGGCACCGGACTGGACCTCCGAGGGATGTGGGGGTAAGGTGCGCGGCGGCGGGGGGCGGGGGGGGGCGGGGAGCTGAGGCCAGGCAGAGACAGGGGCCTGGGCTCTGCCTGGGCTGCGGTGGCGATGCGGCTGCGGCACAGGGTTGGATGGAGGGATGCGGGAGCCGAGGCGCGGGGGAGGGGGGCGGAGGGAGGTGAGGAGGAAGGGAGGGAGGGGGAACAGGAGGGGGCGGGGAGCAGGGGGCATGCGCAGCGCCCCGGGCTGGGGGCGCCTGGGGGTTGTAGTCCAGGGAGGGGCACCCACGGGCAGGATACAGGCAGGGACACCCAAGAGGGAGGGGCACCCACGGGAGGGGCACAGGGGAGGCCCAGAAGTGTGGGGGGCGGGGGCAGAGCCCAAGAAGCAGGGAGAGATGCAGAGGCAGGGACAGGGATGCTGGGTGAACGGCGGTTGGGGTGGACCAGCAGAAAGGAGGTCTAAGGCAGTGAATTAAGGGAATAACCTGGGAGGTACCGGGAGAGTGTATGCACGGGTGTCTCTGTGAGCCTACACAGGACCACTTTTATCCTGTCCCTTCGACTCTGCAGGAGGCTCTTTGGACTAGAAATAACAAACCTGACCCTGAGTGTGGCTGTTGCTTACTGAGAAGGACATGGGGCTTGTTCTGTACATCCTTCGTCACCCTACCTGGGAGTGCCCTGGCGCTGGTGGGTTTCAGCTTGCCCACCCACAAGAACAGGGTGGTCACTACCTGCTGAAACCTTCTGGGCTGGCATTTTAGGTAGCTCTGATAAAAATGGCCCTTATCCTGGCCTAGGATGAATCTCTCGGTGGTATGTGCTTGCCTAGCATGCCGCCAAGGCCCTGGGTTCCACCCCCCAACACCAGGTGGTGGGGGGCGGGGGTGGAGAAGGAAGGAAGATCTCTGCTGAGTCTTGAAATCTTGAATCTGGTGCCTCAGAAGGTCCACCCTTCTCTCTTCCTCTCTCCATCTCATCACTTAAGAACACATCAATTCTTCCTTTGCTCTGCGGTGTGGGCTTTGGACTCCCAGTGGGGTGGGCTTTGACCTTGTTTTTGCCAAATACCCAGTAACTACCCTGAGACACCATTTGTCTGTGTCCTAGCCGGACCTAACATCCATGACCTTCAACACCTCCTAAACCCAGTGGCCTTCCTGTGAAAACTCTCCCCTCCTTGTGTCCTTGCCTGCCTCCTGTCCCATCACCTCAACCTCCCGGGTCTGTCTCCCACCTCCTTCCAGGCTCCTCCTCTGTCCTGTGACCCTTGGTCAAGGTTCCTGGGTGCTAGCCTAGGGTCTCATCTTCCTTTTGAATCCTTTGACTTCATCTACACATGTGTATGCAGGTGTGCTCACCTGTACATGTGCACACATGCAGGTCAGAGGTCAGTGGTGGGTGGCTCCTGACTCTCCGCCTTACTTTTCGCTTTTGAGACAAGATCATGCACTGGTCCCGCAGCTTACCATTTTAGCTATAATGATTGACCAAGAGTCCCTGGAGCCTCGGTGTTTCTGTGGCCCCGGGGTACAGATGTGTGCTGCTGTGCACAGCTTTTATGTGGATGCTGGGTATCTGAACCCAGGGACACATCATGTGCCGAGTCCAGGTTCTCATCTTGCTCTCCCACACCTTTCAGTACCTTCATGTCTGTAGCATCCACCTGTACCTGAGAACTAGATCCTTCTCAGAGGAAGGCCCTTCTGTAGCCTGAGGCCAGAAGCACAGAGCCATGGAGTCGGAGATGGCAGGCTCACCTGTGGAGAGCAGGGCAGCACTGTGGTGAGGGGACCCCACAGGGTCAGCCTTGGCTGCGAGACGTGCTTCTTCCCGTTTCCATCAAAGGTGGCATCTCTGTCCACCCAGCTACTCAACGGAGGCAGACTCCGTCCCTGACTCCCCACCACAGCGCTGCTGCCATGGGTATCCATCATGTCCCACGTGCTACATGGCAACTCATCAACCTCCTAACCACGCCTGCTCTCCCAAGTGTACAGGTCAGCAAACCCGGGCTCCAAAGGATTAAGCAGTGTGTCCGGTGTTACAGGTAGAGCCCTCCTTGGCAGCTTCTCCCTCCCTCCGAATGCTGGAGATGGGAGCTGGCTTGTCACATGCTCTACACTCAGCCCTGGTTGGCCACATCCTCAACTTCCTCCCATCCTCACTACCTCAGCTCAGCCTGGGCTCGAAGTACCTTCCTCCCACCTGGACCACCAGGGACGCTTCCTCGACGACCCTCCCTCTTGAAGGCCCTTTCTTTATATGCCTCTTCCTCCCTGGGTTCTGGGATGATTGTCTCCAAGCTGTCTGGGTGTGCTGATGATTGTACCACCGCCTCCCACACTAGCACTCAGGAAGCAGAGACAGGAAGATGCCAGGTTGAAAGCCAGCCTGGTTATATAGTGGGACTTTGATTCAAAAGGACAAATGGGCTGTCAAGACAGTTTAGCAGTTCAGAGCGCTGGGTGTTCCTACACAGGACAAGCTTCAGAGCTCCACGCTTCAGCACCCCCACTGACAGCTGCCTGTATCTCCTGTCCCAGTGGATACGATGCCCTCTTCTGGCCTCCATGGGCACTGCACCCAGGTGGGCATTTACACACACACACAGGCAAAACACTCACCCTTAAATACAAATCTTTAAGAGCTGGAAAGATGGATCAACAGTTAAAAGCACTTGCTGCTCTTGCTGAGGACCCAGTTTCAGTGCCCAGCATGCATGTGGCACTCACAACCATCTGTGACTCTAGTCCCAGACGGGTTGATGCCCTCTTCTGGCCTCCTTAGACACCAAGTACACATGTGGTACATGTACATACATGCATAGATAAAAAATAAAAATAAGTCTCTAAAACAAACCATTTGGTTACCTCAACATCACCTCCTTTTCCCATCACCTCCCTTCCTGCCAAGAAATCATAGCCTCCACACATCCTTGAGTCTCTTGTTGTGTGTGCCATGGTACTGAGTCCTTTTTCTGACAGTCACACTTTCATCCTATGTCTTTTTTGTTTGTTTGTTTTGTTTTGTTTTTTGGTTTTTGTTTTTTTTCCCTCTGTGTAGCTTTGGAGCCTGTTCTGGAACTCACTTTGTAGACCAGGCTAACCTAGAATTCACAGAGATCCTCCTGCCTCTGCCTTCTGAGTCCTGGGATTAAAGGCATGCGCCACCACCGCCCAGCTCATCCTATGTCTTAACTAGGGTTTTGTTGCTGTGAAGAGACACCATGACCATAGCAATTCTTTTTTTAAAAACAATTTATTTATCTTTATTTTATGTGCATTGGTGTATGTATGTATGTCTGTGTGAGGGTGTCAGATCTTAGAGTTACAGACAGTTGTTAGCTGCCATGTGGGTGCTGGGAATTGAACCCGGATCCTCTGGTAGAGCAGTTGGTGCTCTTAGCCACTGAGCCATCACTCCAGCCCGACCATAGCAATTCTTATAAAGGAAAATGCTTAACTGAGGCTGGCTTACAGTTCAGAGGTTTAGTTCATTAGCATCATGGCGGGAAACATGATAGCATGCAGGCAGGCAGACGTGGTGCTGGAGAAGGAGCTGAGAGTTCTATATCTTGATCAACAGGCAGCAGACGGCCCCACCAGTGACACACTTCCTCCAACAAGGTCACACCTACTCTAACAAGGCCACACCTCCAAATAGTGCCACTCCCTATGGACCAGGTATTCAACAAATGCGGCTGTGGGGGCCACTCCTGTTCAAACCACCACATCCTGTGAGGCCAGATTCCAGCCGGCCACCAGCATAGCACAGGCCCAACTGCTGTCTCCATTTTCCCAGGAACTGACACAGGCCAAGTACAGAGTAGATGCTCACCGGAAGTCTGAATAAGAGGCATGCTGACTCACATCTTTGCCCAGGCAGAAAGACAAAGAAAATAAGCCCAACGAAGTTGGTACATTTTGTCTATTGTGTTCATTGCTAATTTCCCCGTGGTTTTGTGGATCCTTGAACATAGTGAGTACACAGTGTTTGTTAAGGCGATGAATGAGTGAATGGACACTGGCACACACACGGGATATGAGGACAGGAGTAACTTCTGTCATTATCCAGGAATTTATTTATTTAACCTGGAACCTTGGGTGTGATGAACAAGTACTTCAGCATTGGGCTACATTTGAAGTCCTTATTTTTTTTAAAGATTTATTTATTATATATACTGTCTGTCTGTATACTAGAAGAGGGTACCAGATTTCATTACAGATGGTTGAGAGCCACCATGTGGTTGCTAGGACTTGAACTCAGGACCTCTGGAAGAACAGCCAGTGCTCTTAACCGGTAAGCCATCTCTCCAGCCCTGAAGTCCTTATTTTAAAAGATTATTATTATTATTATTATTATTTATTATTTATTATTTGAGTCGGGCTCTCATTATGTAGCCTTGACTGGCCTGGAACTTGTTATGTAGACTAGCCTCAATCTTACAAATATCTACTTGTCCAAAAGCATGCGCCATCATACCTGGCCAAGATTTATTTATTTATTTATTTATTTATTTATTTATTTATTTAGGTTTTTCCAGACAGGGTTTCTCTGTGTAGCTTTGCACCTTTCCTAGAACTCACTCTGTAGCCCAGGCTGGCCTCGAACTCACATAGATCCGCCTGCCTCTGCCTCCGCCTCCCGAGTGCTGGGATTAAAGGCGCTATTATTATTTTTAATATGTGTGTATATGCGTGTGTATCTGTCTGTTCATGCACGTGAATGCAGTTGCCTATAGAGACCAGAGGAATTGGATCCTGCAGTTACAGGCAGTTGTAAGCTGCCCGACGTGGGTGCTGGGAACCAAACTCAGAGCCTCTGCAAGTGTAGCATGCTCTCCTAACTGCTAAACTGTCTCTCTAGTCCCTCTTTTTAAATTTTTAAAATAGTATCTATTTTACATATGTTTCAGTCACATGTATGTGTGTGCACCATGTGTGTGGCTGGTGCCCACGGAGGTCAGCAGACAGCATCAGATCCCTTGCAACTGGAGTTACATACAGATGGTTGTAGCCACCATGTGGGTGCTGGAAACTGAACCTGGGTCCTCTGCAAGAGCAGCCAGTGCTCTTACCTGCTGAGCATCTCTCCAACCCCTCCTTTTAATTTTTTTATTTGGAGATAGAGAACTGCTAATTTGCTGAGGCTGACTCTGAACTTTCTATCCTTCTGCTGTAGCCTCCCAAGTTGCTGTATTTAAAGGTGTGTGCCAGAGCCAGCAAGGGGGCCCAGGTAGAGACAGTCGCTGCCATCTCAGATCTCCCTGGAACCCATGGTGGAGGGAGAGAGTCCACTATTGCAGGTGGTCCTCTGTCCTCCACTCGTCCTATGGTACACACACACTCATACGTACAACAGTGAATCCCTTAGAGGTGTCTGCCCCATGCGTGGATTGTTCCTTGACCTTCTGTTGCTTTTTGTGTCATTTGCTTGTGGTGCTCAAGATTGATCCATGCCCCTGAATAGGCGAGGCAAACGCTGTATCGTCTCGCTAGATCTTTATGACTTCCATTCAACACATCCAGGATCACTTGAAATCTACCGAATAACTATGAGGTGAGTCTGCATCATGCATCAGTTTCTTTTGCAGTCTCTCTACCTGGGTGACCGTACCAGACAGCCCCTGCTCAGAAATGTCCCTGACCCCCGGTGCTCACATGGTGCCGTTTCTTAAACACGCTGACTCCTGTCTCAAGCCATTCATTCCCACATGCCTTTCATCAAGCTCCTGCCTCCTGGTGGTCCCTTCTCTATCATAGCCTTCACAGCTTAGCTTCTCCAGTTTTTCTTAACTCCTATGGAGTTCGAGGGAAAGCCTATTAGATTGTCTAGTCTCTTTTCTAGAACTTCTGATTCCACAGATGTGGCCTGGGACTAAGGAACCTGAGTTCTTAGCAGTTACCTCTGAGGACTTCTTTGCAATTGAGTTTGAGAATTGTTGGATATTGGGTTAGCCAGGTTATGTTACAAAAAACCAAAACAAACAAAGAGCCCTCTAACCTTGAGTGATGTAAGACTATAGAGATGTAGGTTGGGTGTGGTGGAGCATGCCTTTAATTCCAGCACTCTGAGTTTGGCGCTAGCCTGGTCTACAGAGTTCCAAGGACAGTCAAGGCCACACAGAGAAACCCATCTTGGAGACAAACAGACTGTGAGATTTGGTTACTTTCTAGAGATTCTCTTCTCTCTCTTTTCTTTTTTTTTCTGTGGGGGTGGGTTTCAAGACAGGGTTTCTCTGTGTAGCCTTGGCTGTCCTGGAACTCTCTTTGTGGACCACGCTGGCCTCGAACTCACAGGGATCCACTTGCCTCTGTCTCCCCAGTGCTGGCATTAAAGGCATGTGCCACCACCACCTGGCTGAGATTGTGTTCTTAAGAAGCCTCAGTAGTTCAGGTGGAGTACATATGCACAGCTGATCCACCTGTGAACTTTCTGGTTCAATCTCTGTCCCATCCAGCACAGCACCTGCCACAGCTTGCCTGTCTGGGCACATGTGACCAGCCATGGGGTCAGAGCATCCATCTGCTGGTGTCTAAGGAATCTCTGCTCCGTGTTCGTTATGCTTCAGCAGTGAGTGAAGCGGACATCAGGTCTGCCCTGGGGAATGAGTGCCTGCCTTTTCTGAACCCCAGTGTCTAAGACTCTAAAACAACTCTGATACCTTCTCGTTTGGGCCTGGAGACAGGACTCATTGAGAAAATGATCATGAAAGTCACTTGCAACAAGGGATCTCAGTTCAAGCAGCCATGAAAGAGCCTGGGACTCTGGTGTGTCCCCTTCCTGTTCCTCCGTCATTTCAGTCTGTTTCCAGGTTTATCCCATCAGACCTTGGAATTTGGTTTTATGTCCCTCTCCTCATCACGTTTATTGCCTCATCAAACTGTTATGAACCTGAATGTGATTATAATATTATTAATAATAGTGATGGTGATGCCAACTTAAACATTAATAAAGAATATTTACTAATTAAAATAGTAATGATGCTGGTGACATATCATTATATCATTCTTACATAGTGCTTATCAGGTACTGAGCTTTGTTTGTTTGTTTGTTGTTTTTTTTAATTGTGTTTTTTTTTAATTTACTTATTTTTATTTTATGTGCATTAGTCTTTTGTCGGGTTCCCTGGAACTGGAATTATAGACAGTTATGAACTGCCATGTGGTTGCTGGGAACTGATCCTGGGTCTTCTGGAAGAGCAGCTAGTGCTTCTAACCAATGAACCATCTCTCCAGCCCCCAAGCTCTGTTTTAAATATGTTGTCGGCATATTTACTCTTCCAATGACTGTCTGAGGTTACTTCTATTATCTCCATTTATAGATTAGGAAATGAAAGTACAAGGGCTGAGGCAGCTTGCTCCAGCAGGAGCTGACATTCCATCCAGATAAAGCCAAACATCCCCTTAGTCACCCGGTCTCTGCTCCCAAAGGAGCCCCTTCAGCATGCCTGTGCCGCAAAGCCCAGTTACACGGCAAAGACTAAATTGCGGCCCTGCTTTTCTAGATGTGTTCTGGAGAACTGATAACTTCCAACATCCACTTTCCCTGTCCACTTACGTGGTGCAGAGACCATTAATTTAGGACTTCTTTTTAAAGTTATTTTGTTCTTAATTACGTGTATATCTGGGTGCTGGCTCGTCTTCTGTCAGCTTGACACCCAAACTAGAGTTATCTGAAAGGAAGGAAACTCAGCTGAGAAAATGCCTCCATAAGCTCCGGCTGTAAGGCATTTTCTTAATTAATGATTGATGGGGGAGACCCAGCAGGCCCATGGTGGGTGGGGCCATCCCTGCACTAGTGGTCCCGGGTTCTATAAGAAAGCAGGCTGAGTAAACCATGGAGAGCAAGTCAATAAGCAGCACCCCTCCATGGCCTCTGCATCAGCTCCTACTTCCAGGTTCCGGCCCTGTTTGAGTTCCTGTCCTGACTTCCTTCAGTGATGAACAGTGATATGGAAGTGTAAGCCAAAGAAACCCTTTCCCCCCCAACTTGCATTTGGTCATGGTGTTTCATTGCGGCAATAGAAACCCCAAGTAAGACAATCTGTGTTTGCATGTGGATATGTATGTGCGTGTGAGTGCAGTGCCCACGGAGTCTCGAGCTACAGGTGGTTGTGAGCCACTCAGTGTTGGTGTTGGGAACTGGACTCTGGTCTTTGCAAGAGTAATACACTCTGCTAACTTCTGAGCCAATGCTGCAATTCTAATTTAGGACTTCTTTATAGTCTTTCATTAAATTGAAATACTTAGCCAAGCGTGGTAGTTTATGTCTGTAATCTCAACATGGAAGACACTGAGGCAGGAGGATTGCCATAAATTAAGAGGTAACCTGGGTTACATGGTTAGACCTTGTCGCAAATCAAACAATTTATAGTCATTCTCGGCAGCATACACCTGCAGTCCCAGCTACGTGAGGGGCTGAGAAGGAGGTTCTCTTGTGCCCAAGAGTTCAAGAGTTCAAGGCTAGCTGACTACTAGCAAGATCACCTCCCTGCTGACCCCACCATGTAGTTCAGGCTGGTCTCAAACTCAAAGAGATCCGCCTTTACCTCCTGAGTGTTGGGCTAAAGGCTTGTGCCAACTCTCTGTTCTCTGGAATAGCAGCAAGGGCTCTTAAAATAATTCTTTCTGGGGGAGAAGGGACTGAAAAGATGACTCAGCAATTAAGAACACTGGCTGCTCTTTCAGAGGACATGAGTTCAGTTCCCAGAACCCACAGAGTGGCTCATAGTTGGCTGAAACTCCAGATCCAGCGGATCTAACATTCTTTTCTGGTCTCCATGGGCACCAGATATGTACCTGGTACAGACATGCATGCAGGCAAAACACACTACACATGAAATATTAAAAGGAAATATTACATTGAAAATAATAATTTGCCGAGCATAGTAGTGCACACCTTTAATCCCAGCACTCGGGAGGCAGAGCCAGGCGGATCTCTGTGAGTTCAAGGCCAGTCTGGTCTACAGAGTGAGTTCCAGAATAGCCAGGACTGTTACACAGAGAAACCCTGTTTTGAAGAACAAAACAAAACAAACAAACAAGCAAAACAAAACAAAAACCTAGGATTGAACCTCGGCTTTTGTACATTAGGCAAATATCAACTACTCCTTTTCCTAGCCCTGAAAGGTTTGCTCTTATTTCTATAAACAGTATTCCCTACATTTCCATCATAGTTTACTGCTATGACTTACAGTCATGACTGTTTTAAAGTCTTTCTCTTACGCTAGCAAACTTACTTGACATACAGGCAGAATGAGAGACCTGGGCACGACCCCGAAGCCTCCTGCCCTTCTATCTGGGACCATGTCTGACGAGCTCCATCCTTCAGGCGGAGGCTCAGTGTGTCTCTCTGATTCCTAACTTCTCTCTCAGCCCCCAAAGCCAGAGATCTTTTCACAGCACTCGATTCCCCCTGGTGTGCCAGGCGATTGTAAGAATATTCAAACACATGACACTCGGAATGTGAATGGCACTTCTCTGTAGTGTTTTACTTGTTATGCTCTGGCACAGCCAGCTGTGGTGGCCACCATGGGATCTGTGCCCCATGGAAATCTGATCATGGCATCATGTTAATGTTTATACCTCCCTGCATCCATTTCTATGTTGAAGCCCTGGTCCTCCTGTGACAGAGCCTCTGGCAGGTGCTTGTCTAGCTGAGGAACACTCATGACAAAATTGGCACACGTGGACTAAACGTGCACACACACAATTTATATATGTATGTATGTAGGCAAAACACCCATACACATAAAATGTAATAAATCTGGTCGTTTATGGTGCACTCCTTTAGTCCCAACACTTGGGAGGCAGAGGCAGGCCTCTGTGAGTTCGAGACCAGCCTGAGTGAGTTCCAGGACAGCCAGGGCTATCACAGAGAAACTCTGTCTCAAAAAACAAACAAACAAACAAACAAATGAATGAATGAATAGAATAATAAATAAATAATATGTAAAGAGTAGGTATTCATTTATCGTTGTGATTAAGTATCTTTTGCCTTCCTAACATGACGGTGAAGAACTTGTTTGCCCATCTAAGTTACTTACCTCGTCTAACTTATAATGGTGTTTCAACATTGTTTAAATTTTTGGTGCTGTAACATTGACTTCAGGGCCTTGTGCATACTAGACAAGCACCTCCCACTGGACTACATTCCCAGTGTTTAGTTTATATAGGTAGGGTCTCTAGGCTGGACTGAAACTCACCATTCTCCTGTCTCAGCCTCCAGAGTGTTAGGATTACAGGCCTACGCCACTGTTTCCAGCATGATTTTATTTTTTTTATTATTAGTGAGATATTGGACATGTACATGTGTGTTTAAGACTTACATGTTTTCAAGCACAGACAGCATGGATGCATCTAAGAGATGAAATGTAGCTCAAAGGAAGTCTGCCCACACAAACAGGGATTGCAGAATTCTCCTGCCATCCCCTCTGAAAGTGGACAGAGAGCTAAGGCATTAGAAGTTGGACTGGGAGTTTCTCTTCCACTGTGGGGACTTCTGGAATATTCTGCATGTTGATATGGATGTTGCTTACACAGATGTATGTATTTTGTGCGCCAAACCCCAGTAGAATGGCAACAAATTCAAAATATAATAAATGGATTTCTAGGAAAAAAAAGATGTGTTTTGAGGAATTGTCCTGTTCTCTGTCTATTTTTAAAAATTAAACTGAGCTGGGTGTAGTGGCACAGATCTTTAATCCCAGTACTTAGGAGGCAGAGGCAGGCGGATCTCTGTGTATTTTAGGCCAGCCCAGTCTTGGAAAAAAACCAAATAAATAAATAATAAAGTAAAAATTAAACTGGGCTTTTTATCAGTGTGTGGGAGCTCTTTAAGTAGTAGAGTGATAGCCACTTGCGTATGGTGAGAATACAAATAACACTCTCCAGCTTGTCTTTTTTTTTTTGGTCGGAGCTGAGGACTGAACCCAGGGCCTTGCACTTGCTAGGCAAGCGCTCTACCACTGAGCTAAGTCCCCAACCCTGACTTGTCTTTTGCCTTTGCTGGTTTCTGTTATGCCAGTGGTTTATTTTTGACACAGCTACGAAGGGGTTTCTCCTCTTCCTCCAGACTCTTGGTCTATAACACAGGCTGGCCTCAAGCTTGCATTGACCATTTTTCTTCGGCCTCTTTGGTGCTCAGCTTCCAAGCACACAAACCCACCCTTACCTACAGTGGTTGTTTTTCTTTCTCTCCTTTTGTCTTGTCTTGTTTTTCAGACAGGCTCTCTCTCCATATGGCTCTCGCTGTTCTGAAACTCACTTTATACACCAGGCTGCCCTCAAACTCCCTGAGGTCCGCCTGCCTCTGCCTCCCAAGTGCTGGGATTAAAGGTGTGCACTGCCTCTGCCGCCACGGCCTGGCCTCAGGGTTACTTTTCTTGTAACATTTTAACTGACCTTATTCTAACAAGTTACACAACCTGTCAGTATGGTGGCTTGTTTGTTTTTTCAGTGTCGGGTAAAATCCAGCACTTCCTGTGTATGCACAAGGGGTCTACCCCTAAACTGCATACCTGTAGTCCCCTCTATCATTTTCAGACTAAAGTCCAAGGACTAAACAGTGGCCTGATGACACAGTGTCACCATAAGAACGGCATGCATGTGATGAAGAGGACTGAGTTGAGGAGGTTATCAGAGCAGCCAGTGTTTGCTGTTCGGGTCCATGTTCAGGAAGGGACAGCGAGGCCGAGACCCCTAGGAGGCCTATTGATTCCTGGAGCTCACTCAGGAGACATTCCTGCTAGTGCTTTGGACTAGGAGGCCTCGACATGTACTTCAGGTCAAGCCACAGAGTGAGGGTAGTTTGAGGAATGGGAGGTCTCAGGTGGAACTCCAGAGGGTGGCTAAGTGATAACTCTTTACAAGCTCCTGACAGGTGGTGGTGGCACACACCTTTAATCCCAGCACTGGGGAGGCAGAGGCAGGTGGATCTCTGTGAGTTCAAAGCTAGCCTGGTCTACAGAGTGAGTTCCA